CGACCTTCTGATCAGCAAGTCCTAGGCTCTGGGGTTTAACCCACAGTGCCACCCATGTCCCAAACTCTTTAGTAGGTAGGCACTATTCAGGCCCCCATCTGTACCATACATTTAAAGTGGTGCCACAGAATTGTAGAATTGCAGAGTTGGAAGGGACCCTGAGGATTATCTGGTCCAACCACTGCAGGAACCTCAGCTAATCTCAGCTAAAACATCCACGACAGATGGCCATCCAACTTCTGCTTGAAAACCTCCAAGGAAGGAGAGTCTACAACCTCCTGAGGGAGACTGTTCCACTGTCAGACAGTTGGAATCTCCTCTCCTTTCAAGTCCTGTCCTCCAGAGCAGGAGAAAACAAGCTTGTTCCTTCTTCCATGTGACAGCCCATGAGATATTTGAAGATGGCTATCATATCTCCTCTCAGTCTCCTCTTTTCCAGGCTAAACATACACAGCTCCTTCAACCGTTCCTCAGACTAAGGCTTGGTTTCCAGACCGTTGTCCTCTTGGTTGCCCTCCTCTGCACATGTTCCAGCTTGTCAACATCCTTCTTAAATTGTGGTGCCCAAAACTGGACACAGTCTTTCCAGGTGTGGTCTGACCAAGGCAGAATAGAGTGGTACTAGAGTGTCGTACCATCAGATGTCAAAGAAATAAACAACTATATGACATTCAGAAGACATCTGAGGGCAGCCCTGTTTAGGGAAGTTTTTAACGACTGATGTTTTAATGTATTTTTAAGCTTCTGTTGGAAGCTGCCCAAAGTGGCTGGAGAAACCTAGCCAGATGGGCGGGGTAGAAATAATAAATTATTATTATTATTATTATTATTATTGTTATTATTATTATTATTATTTTATTTATTGATTGGTCCTGAGAGTTGTGAGGAGACCCCAGTGCCCCTTAGCAGAGCAACAATTTCCAGGGCTCCCCAGTAAGAGAGATTTGTAGTTTGGCCACTCTGAGAATTGTAGTTCTGTGAGTGGAATAGGGGTCTCCTCACAGCTCTCAGCTTCCTTAATGAACTACAGTTCCCAAGGTCCCTTGGGGGAAGCCATGACTCTTTAAAGTGGCATGGTACTGCTTTAAATGTGCCGTTCAGCCTTTCAAAAGCTCTGGGGCCAGAAGCGGCAAGGTAGGACGTTATTGTTTTAAGTGTTTCTTTCTCTACATGCCTTGCCTTTTCTCCTCTCTGCACAATAGGCTTTTAAAGCCTTTAGTTCTTTAATGATGTGCCCTGCACGCTCTGCTTGGCACCCCAATTCACATGCACAGAAGAAAGAAGAGCCTTTATCTTATTTTGATCCAATCCAGCACTGAATAAAATCCTGAGATAAAAAAGGTAGTTGAGGCAACTAAACTGTTTCATCTGAGAAAGCTGGTGTTCTCATGCCTGCTCATTATTTTCGGCTTTTATTAAAGCTGTTTCTCCTTTTCTCTGTGGGGCAGGGAGAGAAAGACAGCCCATAATAGCAGAATTCTAATTCACCCACCTGCCAATAAGAACTTTGAACTGCACTGTTGTCCTCGAAATATGCTACTAAAATCTTAGCCAGCTTACCTCTCCTCATTGCCCAGATCTGACCCAAAGCATCCTTCTGCGTTAGCAAAGCTTCTTCATGATGGTTTCAAAGTCACAACATGGGTCAGCCTGGTGGTGGTGGGTTTTATTACATACCCTCCAGTAATTTCTCCTATTCCATAATAAAAATATTTATACCACACCCATCTGTCTGCCTTGCTCCAGCCACTCTAGGCGGCTTCCTACAGATATCAAAACATAATAAAACATTAAACATTTAAAAACTTCCTTTATACAGAGCTGCCTTCAGATGTCTTCTAGAGGTGGCATAGTTACTAATCTCCTTAGCTCAGGGGTCTCCATACCCTCCAACATTTCTCCAATGAAATAGGGACGTCCTAAGGAGAAGCGGGACATTCCGGGATCGAATCAGAATCTGGGAACAGGCCTTTTCTGCAGTTGCTCCCCATTTGTGTAATGCTCTCCGAAGGGATACTTGCCTGGTGCCAAGTGTGCTGGCTTGCCGTCGCGATTAACGTCACTTGCGCATGCCGCGAATGTGCTGATGTGTTGTGCGCACCCCGTGTGGCTTGCGTGAGTGACATCAGCATGCCTCACGGTGTGTGTGTGTGTGTGTGGGCTGCCAATGAATTTTGAGAGGGCCTGACCCCCTCCTTGCAAATTTGTTGGGGGCCCTTGGCACCTTGGCACCCCTGGCTCCTCTGTTACATATTTTTAGTTGCCAGGCAAAAACATTCCTCTTCTTCCAGGCATTTGGCTAATTAAACCATCTAAGGCAGGCTTCCTCAACCTTGGCCCTCCAGATGTTTTGAGACTACAATTCCCATCATCCCTGACCACTGGTCCTGCTAGCTAGGGATCATGGGAGTTGTAGGCCAAACACATCTGGAGGGCCAAGTTTGAGGAAGCCTGATCTAAGGCATTTTAAACTGTGTGTGTAGGAGTTATTGGTTTCATTTGTTACTGCGGAATGTATTTTTATATTGCAAACCACCCTGTGATATTTGGATGAAGGGCAGTACAGAAATTCAGGAAATAATAACAATAATACAGTCCCCATGATTCTTTGCAGGAAGCCAGAACTGTTTAAAGTGGTATGATGGTGATTTAAATGAATAGTGGAGGTGGGGGCCTTAGAGTGGGGATTGTGCAAATTATTTGAAACAAACAATGTAGTTTATTGTACAAAACTCACATATACATACACTAGTAACAGATATGACATCTGCTGTTTTTAAGCAGCATTTGAACACTGTTTGGCATGGAGTCTAGTAGTTTTGAACAGTCACTGTTGATTTTCGGATCCCTGTGCCACACTTGAATCAGTGCCTGAATGAGCTTCTCCATAGTCATGCAGTCTACAGCACAGAGGCGAATTTTGCATATAGCCCACAAATTCTCAATGGGATTTACATCCGGGTAATTCCCTGGCCAATCAAATACCTGTATTTGCTGCTCTGTCATGAATTTCTTCACCACTTTCAATGTGGGCCAGGTCCTGCTGCAATATCCCAGTACCGCCAGGATACCTCTTTTCCAGCTCTGGATTAACTCTTTCGTAGAACCTCAATATATTGTGGCGAGCACATCATTCCTTCTGTTGGCTGCAGGCTTCCGACACCATAATGATCAACTGACTTTTCGTGTTTGTTTTGAGTACAGGATTACAAGTAAGATAGAAAACATGCTTTGTTTCAATTAATTTGCACAAGGGTGTAGATCCCTTTTCCTAAGCTGATGTGCAGAGTAATTTCAGGGGAACCCCAGCATGTCTTCAGAGGTGGGAGGAGACCATTATTCTTATGTGCATATAGAGATGCACCCACAAATCTTAGGTCTTACGTTCCAATGCGGGGCATTGTGTGGACCCAACAGCAGACACCTTTTATACGCACAAGATTATTATTGTCTTGGCAAGCTGCTAAATGTCATCCTTATCGTCACATTTATGGCTGTATTGACCGTATCCCCCAAGCACAGCACTGCCTTTTGCAGCGCTTGTGAGATACGAAGTGTCAGAAAATGCACATATATTCTAGCCAGGAGGCAGGGAAAGGTTTGACAAGACTGACAAAGGCACCCCACGATTTATGGTCGGGACAGGGCCTGTCTTTTCTCTCATGTGCTCTGAGAAGCAGTAGATCCTGCAGATGAAGGGAAAGGCAGAGCTCATGCAATTATTAATCATTTATCCCAGCACCTTTCACTATGCAAAGCCACCATTCAGGTCTTATCTCGTTTAATCTTCAGGAAAAACCAATGAGGTAGGTTAGAGTGACACCGGGTGAGTCTGCTAGCCAAGCAGGAAATCGAATATTGGCCTCCCACATTCAGCTATTCCACTTTATCAACTGCACTACATTGGACCCAGCAAGGAGCACTGTATAATTTGAATGACTTATGAGTGGACCAGCTTAGGCTACATCGGTGCCAAAAGTGGCACTGGTAATGGGAACTGGGGGTAGTTGTGGATTTGAAAGTGCGGGAGATAATCGTGACAGCTCCCATAGCCGTGCCTCTAAGGAGAACACAGAGGTATCTGTGTTGACCCATTATGAAACACGCACACCAAAGAGTCAGCCGTGTGTAGTAGAGTCAGTGTTGCTGCAATTCTTTGCATAGCTTCCTGGGAGTAAACTCAGTGGTGCTTCCTTCTGACTACGAAGGTTCAACTGGTAAAACAATTTGAGCTTCACGAGAAGATCTTCAGCCATTTAAACTGTGAGCATGAAATAGCTCTGCCAAAGGGAAGTTAAGGTGTAGCCGAACTTTGCTTGATTATTCTCTGACTGAAAGCTTCAACGACACCTCATCCACTTGTCACTGTTAAGGATATTCCATCCGTTGTCTTGGTGTCCTAGCAGGTGACTTCATCCTTCCTGTTCAACAAAAAAGCTCTGGAGCTGGGCTCTCCTGTCTTCCTGCTCTGCTACACTACCGACTCCCAGACAGGAACTTGAGGGCTTGCTCTCTAGGATAGGCAACAGAGTCCTCCTACCAGCCTCTCTTGTGCTATGATGATGGCCTTTTCCAGTCTTAGAAAGATTAGAGAAGCCTCCAACTCCATTCCCTATTACTCCTGGCCAGCATGCCCAATGGTCAGAGGTAAATGGAGAGTTGTGGTCCATGAACATCTGGAGAACACCAGTTTGGGGAAGCCTGGGCTAGAGGCATTGCCTGAAGACACATCTTAGGATCCTGTGCTATGTAGAAACAGGGGAAATTCATAAACGGATAACTCTACTTGTCATGATGTGCAATGCTGGATCAGCACTTCTTATCACATCCCGGCTTGGCGCCTTGTTTAGTAAGTGCTCAGCATGATAAAAGGCATCATGCTAGGATGAATCAATGTAAGATAACCTGCATGTGTGAAACTAATCCTTTTCCGAGTTATTGCCAGGGCTAGGACAAAAGTATTTTGAATGCCTCTGTTTCAAGTCTTTAGACTTGTATATTGCGTGTGTGTGTGTGTGTGTGTGTGTGTGTGTGCGCGCACACACACACACACACATACACACACTCCTGATGAATGGGGGTGGGCTGAGGGACCCCCTGCCTCTAATTTCCTAAGTGGGACATTGGCTCCATCAGGCATATAACAGTGTAAGAACTTTCTGTGAGTGGGTTACAGGTCCTTGCTCCAGACTACTGGTGGCTCTTTCCCATACCCAACAACAAAATGGGTGAGGGATCCCCTGACTCTCTCTTACCTGCCAATGGGCTCTGCATTACGGGAGATTCAAAAGTTGTGAGCTACAAAAAGATACACACTTGCCTTTGGCTCGGAGAGCTTATTCCTGAGCGGCGAGTATCTCCTCTCTAGGCACTCCTTAGCCTCCTGTGCTTCAGTTTTCTCTGAGTGCAGCTGGGGCAGCTATATCAGGCTCCTTGTGGTCAGCTGCAGTAGCTGAGGGTTTGACCTTCGATCTGTAGTTGTAGCCAAAACCAAGGGTATGAAGTGCAGCAGATTGAAGGCAGCGCTGTTCTGAGCACAGGGCCTGCACTGACATGATGGAGAGTGAGGCTACCTGGAAAGAATAATGTTGTTGTTGTTGTTGTTGTTGTTTAGTCGTGTCCGACTCTTCGTGACCCCATGGACCAGAGCACGCCAGGCACTCCTGTCTTCCACTGCCTCCCACAGTTTGGTCAAACTCATGCTGGCAGCTTCGAGAACACTGTCCAACCATCTCGTCCTCTGTCGTCCCCTTCTCCTTGTGCCCTCAGTTTTTCCCAACATCAGGGTCTTTTCCAGGGAGTCTTCTCTTCTCATGAGGTGGCCAAAGTATTGGAGCCTCAGCTTCACGATCTGTCCTTCCAGTGAGCACCCAGGGCTGATTTCCTTAAGAATGGAGAGGTTTGATCTTCTTGCAGTCCATGGGACTCTCAAGAGTCTCCTCCAGCACCAGAATTCAAAAGGAAAGAATAATAGAATCAAAGAATCCCTTCATGGATCACTGCCTTGCTGTGGCAAAGGGGCTTGAATAACTCAGAGAAGCTATGATGCCATGCAGGGCCACCGAAGATGGACAGGTCATAGTGGAGAGTTTTGACCAAACGTGATCCACCTGGAGCAGGAACCGGCAAGCCACTCCAGTATCCAAGTAAACTCCATGGACAAAGACAATAGGAAAGAATAATAGAATCAAAGAATTGTAGGGTTGGAATGCAGGAATAATGCAAGAAGGAAAGGGGTGATGCTGGGTCCCCAAAGGTGTACAAGTTTCTGAGTACGAAAGAAATGTATTTTCAGTGCAATGGCCCTTTGACTGGCCTCTCGGTTTGTGAATCACCCAGTCACCCTTAAGTCATGGGATAAAATGACATTTGCCAGCTGCCCACACACATGGGGAAAGTGTCCTACTCAATGGACGCACACAAGTCAATTTCTTCGGCAGCTCTCTATTCTAATATAGGCTCACAGTGTAGAATCATCAGTGAACACTGCTGATATGTAGCCAGAACACTCAAGTCGTACATCTGGGAGTGACTCACGGTTTACTCATTCTGTGATGTATCGGAGAGCCAGGCGTCTCTCAACGTCGCCTTTCCGAACAGATCGTCTCGGTGTTGACTTAGTCACTCAAGCAATTAATCAAAAAAAGCATTTCCAAGATGTGTGTTATACAAAATACACAGACTTGTGTGTAACTTAGCCGTTGAAGGAAGTCTTCCTTGGCGCAGCTACACCACCGTTTTGTTTTCTGATCAGACATTGCTTTATATTTTCAGTGCAGAGGGAACAGAGTATTCCATCCTTCTGGGGAAAGCTGTCGCAGGGATCTGCTTTAATTGATGACAATGCTTCTGATTTTTTGCAGAGATGAAAACTGTAATCTGAGCAGGATCGGAATGGAAGCCAATAGGCTTTGAATTTTAGTTCAGTGTTGTCAGTCAATAAACTAGCTGCAGTTGAGATTGACAGCCTCTCTCCCCCGCACTCCCCTTATGGAATAAACTCAGGATCCAGAGCAGGGGTTGGCAGACTTAGGGCACATTGGATCTGCTTTGTGTTTTGCCAGGCAGATTTTCTATCTAAAGCCACATACAAAAGCCGTAGATACACTGAAACAGAAGTCACCAGACCCTTATACAGTGGACGCTCGGGTTGCGAACATGATCCATGTGGGATGCACGTTCGCAACCCTCAGCATTCGCAACCCATGTCTGCGCACGTGTGGGTTGCGATTTGGTGCTTCTGCGCATGCGCAAAGTGCAATTTAGCGCCTCTGCACATGCGTGACTGCCGAAACCCGGAAGTAACCCGATTCGGTACTTCTGGGTTTCGGTGGTCCGTAACCTGAAAAAACACAACCTGAAGCGGCTGTAACCCGAGGTATGACTGTATATAGTGAGAAGGTAGGGAGAGGTATTAGTCAGAAGGTTGGTAGGAATGGGTGATTGTTAACGACTGCAAGACAGAGAAGCCAGTAGGAGAACACTTCAATCTCCCAGGACATTCTATACAAGATCTCAAAATAGCTGTCATTTTACAAAAGAATTTCAGAAATAGACTGGAAAGAGAAGTTGCTGAATTACAACTTATTACCAAACTTAAAACCATGGAGAGACCTGGTCTGAATAGAGACACTGGATTCTTATCTCATTATACATGATAAAGCTATTTTTGGCCATCTCATCCCTTGCTTTTTCCTGTAAGACCAATTGCGGTCGTTAACAGTTGTCAACTGGTTTACCACACCTATCAGCCAGTCACCCATATCTGAAGAAGTGTGCATGCACACGAAAGCTCATACCAATAACAAACTTAGTTGGTCTCTAAGGTGCTACTCAAAGGAATTTTTTTATTTTGTTTTGACCACGGCAGACAAACACAGCTACCTACCTGTATCTAAAAGCCGTAGAGTTAGAATTAAATAACAGGGTATCTCAGTGCACATTCTGAGCTTAGGAATGTGTTTTCAGTACCAGAAATTAACTGAACTCACAGTCGTTTCATACAAAATCCTGCTCCTGGTTAGTTTTCTTCATTCCAGCACTCTAATTTAGGTGGGAAAGTCTCCCCTATTGTCAAACAATTGGGAAAAGAACATAAGAAGACCTTGCTGGATCCGGCCCTTGTACAGGGGAGTTGGTGTCTATCTTCCATCAATGCAATTAAGAGGACATATTCCAGAGAAGCAAAAATACTTAAGGAAGACACAAAGTAGGGCTGGTAAGGAGTGTGGTTTGGAGAAAGGGTGTGTGGACTGGAAAAGGACCATGGAAGTTTATTACAATATCTGATTACAGCAGTGAGATGGAAAGATGGAAAGATACAGTCCTACCTAACATGAACAGCTGATAAAAAATTATTGGACTTAGCTGAGATGGCAAAGGAGCATGTTTAATTAGAGAGAAATCATTATTGACATTTATAAGGATTGGAAACTTCTTTTGGACTTTTTGCATGAAAGAGAAAATGAACTTGTCATATCTGGGTTTGAAGACTGGAAAGATATTTGCTTATAGAAAATAGAATAGTTGGATGTTAATGAATGAATTCTATACTTAGCTGCAGGACAGAGAACCGAAAGTCTCTTTATCATTTTAATTTTCTTGTCTCTCTCCTTTCTATTTCTTTCTTTCCCTTTTCCCATTTCTGCCTTCTTTTTGCTTCCATTCCTCTTTAGATTAGAACTTTAAAGCCTTTCTTTTTTTCTACTGTATTATAAAAATATACTTTTTGTATATCATTGTATATACATTGTATAGCATGAACTTTTGTATATCACTGGACAAGTATAAATAAAAATAGATGAGAGAGAGAGAAAGAAAGGGGTATAGCTTAGGGAGAGTTAACAGAGAAAGTCTGAGTGGCCCTATTTGGCTTCTGGGTCTGAGGTTCCCTACCCACAGTCCACTCTCAAGGATTTATGGCTCTGGAGAAGCCAATATAAGTTGCAATTTCAGCTAAATTTGGGGAAACCACTTGAAGCATCCATTGTGTTGAGCTATTTCAATTCCTTTACTTCAATTTGCTCATTGCAAACAGCTGAAAGTCTGGAAATTTTGATAATAAACCTGATTTGCAATGGAGGTTGAATAATTTCCATTGCTCCGAGGGCCTTCTGGCGGTTCCCTCACTGCGAGAAGTGAGGTTACAGGGAACCAGGCAAAGGGCCTTCTTGGTAGTGGCGCCTACCCTGTGGAACGCCCTCCCATCAGAAGTCAAGGAAATAAACAAGTGTCTGACTTTTAGAAGACATCTGAAGGCAGCCCTGTTTAGGGAAGTTTTTAATGTTTGATGTTTTATTGTGTTTTTAATATGCTGTTGGGAGCCGCCCAGAGTCAGATGGGCGGGGTAGAAATAATATTTTATTGATTGATTGATTGATTGATTGATTGACTGAACCTGGCAACTCCTGTTCGCAAAGCCTCTCTTCTACCACTGAATTATAGCTCCTCCCTCTTCATTGAAATGAGCTTGCTTGGGTTTTGAACCTGGGCCTTTTCACACTTGAAGCAAGATTCGTAATCCTAGACCAGGGGTTGTCAACTTGGTCTCGACCACCCACTAGTGGGCGTTTCAGGATTCTAGGTGGGCGGTAGAGGGTGTTGGGATACTGCCAGGGAGACAAAGTCCATCATGGCCCCAAGCCGTCTGCCGGACGATCCATCGATCTCCCGTAGGCACGCAGTATCAGCAATTAGTGACATGAGTTTCTAGAAAATATCTTGCCACATTCCAGAGCTCATGCACACTCTATCAGCAGATAATGCACAGCCAAAGTCGCACTCAGGAGAGCATTATTTACAAGTTTATTCAGCGTTGATCAGAACACAGAAAAACATGACTGCCTGCTTTAGTGTCTACGACACACAGAGAGAAAAACGAAAGCTATAGCAAACATAAACATCCTGTGAACAGGACATGCGCAGACTCTGTGACTCACAGCCTGCTCCCTTTTAAGGTGGAACGGAAATATCCTAACAGAGGGTTCTATGGCACAAGCTGAATCCTCCTTCTATCGAGCACTGGTGGGCGGTAAGGAAATTTTACCATCAAGAAAGACGCATTAATGGGC